CCTCAGTATTTCTGGTTGTCACCCATCATATTTTGCAATGGTGATGTTGTGTTAGAAGCTAGCTATCTAAAATAGTTTCTTATCGCTTCTAATGCTTTAGATTTACCATATAGCAACTTGTCACACAATAAAGAGGCAGCATGATAGGATGGAAAGAACATTGGCCCCAGAGTCAGAAGACTTTTGTTTAAATTCCTCTTCCTGATGTTTAATATCTGCTTGATCTCTGGCAAATCACTTCACCACCCTGGTCTCCTGTTTTCTCATCTACAAAATGAAGAAGTTGGACTAGATGGTTTTTGTGATCTCAAAAACAAAAACAACTTAAACTGTACTTTCAGTGAATGGAAAACATTGGCCTTAGCCTTTATATCTATGACCGTTCCCTTTTTTATTTTTTTAATCACATATGAGACATTTTAACTTATTTGAAAATAATAAAAGTTTTGTGGCTTTCTTTTAAAAAATATAGAATCTCCAACTTCATTACTTTCTTTGGCCATGTTTTTTGTTTGCCTTAGTCATCTTAAATATGATCATTTTCTTTTTTTATATATATTTTTTAATATAAATTTATTTACTTTTAGTTTTCAATATTTACTTCCACAATATTTTGAATTCCAAATTTTCACCCCATCTTGCCCCTCTCCCCACCCCAAGATGGCATGCATTCTGAATACCCCTTCCCCTAGTCTGCCTTCCCTTCTATCTCCCCCCCATCCCCTTCCCCTTCTATTTTCCTGTATTGCAGGATAGATTTCTGTACCTCATTTCTTGTATTTCTTATTTCCCAGTTGCATGTGGAAATGTTTTTTTTTAAAACATGTATTTTTAAAACTTTGGGTTCCAAATTTTCTCCCTTCCTCCCACCCTACCCACCCTCATTGAAAAGGCAACCAAGTCAGTACAGCCCATACATGTGCAGTTATGCAAAATACTTCCATAGTAGACATGTTGTGAAAAACCAACTCTATTTCCCTTAATCCTATTCTGCCCCCTCCATTTATTCTGTTCTTTCTTTTGACCGTGTCTGTCCTCAAAGTACTTCCTTCTGATTACCCCTTTCCCAGTCTGTCCTTTTTTCTATCATCCCCCTGCTCTCTTGTCCCCTTCCTCCCCTATTTTCATGTAGGGTGAGACAGATTTCCATACCCAATTGAGTGTGTATGTTATTCCCTCCTTAAGCCAAATCCTATGAGAATAAGATTTACTCATTTCCTCTCACCTTCCCATTTCCCCTCCACTGTAAGAACCTTTTCTTGTCTGTTTTGTGCAAGATAATGTACCCCATTCTACCTCTCCCTTTCTCCTTCTCCTAGTATAATCCTCTCTCACCTCTTAATTTTATAATTTTATTCTCCAGATATCACCCCTTCATCTTCAACTCACCCTGTGCCCTCTATCTATCTATCTGTCTATCTATACATACATATAATTTTTTTTCCCTCCACTACCTAATACTGACAAAGGTCTCATGAGTTATAAATATCATCTTTCCACGCAGGAATGTAAAAAGTTCAGCCTTAATAAGTCTCTTATATTTCTCTTTCCTGTTTACCTCTTCATGTTCCACTTGAGTCTTGTATTTGAAAGTCAAATTTTCTATTCAGCTCTGGTCTTTTCATCAAGAATGCTTGAAAGTCCTCTATTTCACTGAATGACCATTTTTTCCCCTGAAGGATTATACTCAGTTTTGCTGGGTAGGTGATTCTTGGTTGTAATCCTATCTCCTTTGCCCTCCAGAATATTATATTCCATGCCCTGTGGTCCCTTAATGTAGAAGCTGCTAAATCTTGTGTTATCCTGATTGTGTTTCCACCATACTTGAATTGTTTCTTTCTGGCTGCTTGCAATATTTTCTCCTTGACCTGGGAACTCTGGAATTTGGCTACAATATTCCTAGGAGTTTTCCTTTGGGGATCTCTTTCAGGGGGAGATCAGTGGATTCTTTCAATTTCTATTTTGCTGTCTGGTTCTAAAATATCAGGGCAGTTTTCCTTGATAATTTCTTGAAAGATGATGTCTAGGCTCTTTTTTTGATCATGGCTTTCAGATAGTCCAATAATTTTTAAATTCTCTCTCCTGGATCTATTTTCCAGGTCAGTTGTTTTTCCATGAGATAGTTCACATTGTTTTCTAATTTTTCATTCTTTTTTATTTGTTCTACTGTGTCGTGATTTCTCATAAAGTCACTATCTTTCAATTGCTCTATTCTAGTTTTTAAGGAAGCATTTTCTTCAGTAAGCTTTTGGACTTCCTTTTTAGGGCATTCTCCTCATTGGCTTTTTGGACCTCTTTTGCCATTTGGGTTAGGCTATTTTTTAAGGTGTTATTTTCTTCAGTATTTTTTGGGTGTCCTTTAGCAGGCTGTTGACTTGTTTTTCATGATTTTCTTGCATCACTTTCATTTCTCTTCCCAGTTTTTCCTCTACTTCTCTTACTTGCTTCTCAAAATCCCTTTTGAGCTCTTCCAAGGCTTGGAACGGATTCATATTTTTCTTGGAGGCTTTGGATGTAGGAGCTTTGACTTTGTTGTCTTCTTCTGGTTGTATGTTTTGATCTTCTTTGTTACCAAAGTAAGATAATATAGTCTGACTCTTTTTGCGAGGTTTGCACATGATCCCAGCCAACTACTTGAGTTTTAAACTCTTTGTTAAGGTAAAGTCTGTCTCCAATGTGGAGAATGTACTGTCCCAAGCTTTAGGGGTTTGTATAGCTGTTTTCAGAGATACTCCTAGGGACCTGTAAATTTTCAGTTCTTCCAAGGTGATATGATAAGGGTTGAGGTATTTACTCTTTTCCTGGCCTGTGCTCTGGTCTTTGAGTGACCGGCCACAACCAGTCTTTTCTCTCTTGGAACTGTGAGGGTTTCCTCTCCACAGCTACTACAAGCTTCACCACGCCAGTGCTCCTCCTCACCCCAGGACCACCATCCAGAACTGTGACCCAGATGCAAGCACAGGCAAAGCCAAAGATTCCTGCCTCAGCACCAGCAAAGAGATCCCTGCAGTCCCCCTTTGATCAGCCACTTGATTCCCCCTCAGTCTGTGGGCCAGAAGCTCAGGACGCTGGCACCATCCCGGCGCCCACACTCTGCACTCTGGAACTGGCTCTGACCTAGCTCTTCTGTCACTGAAAAAACAGACTTTTCTCACTGACTTTCTAAGTTGTCTTTGGTGTTTGTGGAGTGAGGAGTCTGGAAACTGCCACAGCTGCCTGAGATTCATTCCTCTGAGGCCTTCTCCAGGTTCGCTGCGGCCTGCGCGCCCACGCCAAACTGTGCTCCTCTCCCTGCCCAGCACGATATGCCTTTCTGATCATCCATCTGGGCTGTCTTGGGCTGGAAATTTGTTTTACTCTGTCTTTTTGTGGGTTCTGCTGCTTTAGAATTTTAGAGCCATTTTTCTACAGGTATTTGGAGGGTTTTGGGGGAGAGCTCAAGCAAGTCACTGCTTTCACATGGCCATCTTGGCTCCACCCCCCAAATTTGATCATTTTCAAATTATGTAAAGTTAATTTTATAATTGTATTCATTGTATGTCCTTTATCTCTCCTCCAACCCCCCAGTATATTTTGAGGCAACTTGAGTAAACAAAATACTATATTGAAAAGAGCTATTTACTTGGACTCAGAAGATCTGTATTCAAATTTTACATATGCATACTACCAGCTATGTGGTCTTAGGCAAATAACTTAGCCTGTCTGATTTGGTTTTCCCACCTGTGAAAGGGTAGGTAGCTCTACCTACCTTACAGGGGTGTTATAGAGACTAAGTGAGAAAGTGTGTAAAGCACTATGTTAACCCTTCTGAACTATATCACTGAACTTTCCACTAAATGCTAAAAATAAATTGGTGTTCGTCATTCACATCCAAATGTTATGTTGAAGGCTGTCTGAACTGAAAGTGTACAAAAACATTTAATTCAGTAAATAAATATTTCTGTTTACTCCCTCCAAAGAATTCCCAAGAGCAATTTGGAGAAATTATAACAATTGTTTTGATATAGTCTAGGAAAAGTAACTCTCCAGCCAAAATCATTATTGCTTTTCATCTTTCATTGCCAAGGATATAGATGTTGAGGAAATTCAACAACTTGCCAGCAAATAGCTTCTTTAATAGTTTAATAATTATATATTAGCTAGCAGGTCTAACTCTCAGTTGTAGTCTAAGAATTTCCTTCTTCCTTTAAATATCTCCTCATTCACAGGGCCTTTCTTGATTTTCCCTCTCATCCTCATTACCTCAATTCAGTAATTATCATCTCCCTTAGACCTGACATAAGGCACCTCCTTAATGTACTTAGCATATAAAAATATGCATTATGTGCTATTTCTTATCTTTGTTTTGTGATGGATAATCCTGTGAGAGCATGGACTCTGTCTTGTGTAAGTCTTCCCCTTGGCCTAACATAGTACTGTGCACACTAGTATTTAATCAATGTTTAGAGAAATAAATGGTGGCCTCTACAGTTCTCTTGTGTCTCTTTAGACAGTCTATCGAATGTAGAAGGAAGGTTCATTTTAATACATGGAAAGTATTAACAAGTAACATTTACGTAGGTGCAGAACAATATGCTGCTAGTAGTATATAAGTCCTGCTAGTTGTAGAATAAAGCCAAGAAAAGAGGATTAATCAGTAAAGACATCTTGGAAAGAAGTAAGTTTGATCTGGGTTAATTGAACAACCCGAGTCAATTAACTAAGTTATAAGGGAGGGAAAGACTGTTTTGTTTTGTTTTAAGAATAATTAGAACTTAAAAAAATAAATAATTAGAACTGATTTTTTGCAATTAAAAAAAATGCCAGGAAACATCTGTCTATTTACATTAGTAATAATATCTTGCCCTTTTAGATCCTTTAGATTTTTCCAACAGTCCTACTGCATATCTGATATACATTTGGATATCCCAATCTTCGTCTTCTGGGAGTTTGAAGTTGTATTTGTGTACAGTTGTAAGGTTTGGTGATGATGCTTTAATTTGGCACCATTTTCTTCTCAGTTGGCACTTTATGTGCTTTCATTCCTGGAACCCAAGGACCTGCTGCAAGCAGCTCAGACATGCCGATACTGGAGAATTCTGGCTGAAGACAACCTTCTCTGGAGAGAGAAATGCAAAGAAGAGGGTAAGAGCCAAAAATTTAAAAATATCTTTTTAGAAAGAAATGATTCTCAAAATGGAACACTTTTTAAAAAGGTAAAAGTAGTTTTGGTATAGATGAGAAACTGGGAAAAGGTAAATTATATAGTTGGATGAACAAAGACAAATATGAACTTAATTTAACATTTCTTGTAAGCAAAACAGAAGTATCTTTTAAGTGAATATGGAAGAGCAGAGCTGTTTTAGAGGCCCAAATGATATACACTGAATTAAGGTTGTGACACTGAACTTCCGACAATAATTAAATGAGAAGGCTTAATCTTGGCTAAGTGATACAAATCATAAGGAAATCTCCACTTAAATTCACCAAAGTATCTGTACTTTAAGACTGGGATTATTCATCACAGTGTTAACTATTTGAAACTAGACAATCCTCATGGACTTAATTTAACCAAGACTTGTACCTATGAAGCCATTTACCAGCACTGCTAACAAATACAAAATTGACTGATTTGTTGCTCATCCCTTCCTAGTGGAGTTATTGGTGAAAAGTGAAAAAGCCCAAAGGGGAAGTTGATCAGGAAAGCAGAAGCAATGGTGGAGGCAGAAGGGGAAGGAAAAAACTGAAATAACATTCTCTGAATAATTAAAAACTTTCTATCTGCAGTGACTTTTCCAAGTGGAATTCAGTGGCTTTAAAAGGTAGCATGGTAGAAAGAAAAGACCAGTGAACTAAGGAATCAAAAGACCAGTCTCAACTCTGTGCTTTACTTAGACATGTCATCTAGGCAAATTATTTAATCTGACTGGATCTCAGTGCCTTCCTTACAAAAGTTGTAATAATGATAGTTGTACGATCTTCATTATACAATTGTTGAGGATGAAATGAGAAGCTTTAAGGAAGAAAAAGGAACATCCATTTACTAAGGGCCTACTATGTGTCAGTACATGTATGTGTAGATAGACAAGTAGATTAGTTATGTCTATAGTTTTGAGTAGCTAGTCAAATATCTTGTTTTCCTTTGGGAATTAGTTTTTGAGAGAAAACAAAAGAACATAAGAGAAGAAGACTTTTAATGGAAATAACAAATAAGAAGAAGTTTATTAACTGGGTAATCAAAAGCAGTTTACTGCTCTTGGTTATTAAAGGGGCCCTGGAACTGTAGTGCTAAGTCATACTGATAACTGTGTGTTGGTTAAGATTTCTGAAATGTTGACTTGAGACAGAGATCAAGAAGACCTTTATTCAGATCCCATGTCTGCCATGCAGTGACCAGGTAGCCTGGGGCAAGCCACAAAAACTCTTTGTCTAGAAAGTGGGTACAGCTAAGCAAGGTCCCAATTAGGGCAAATAATGAATCTTCGTGAAGTGGTTGCATTATTCTAATTAGCACTGCATATTTCCATTGGGCTGTCACCAATTACCATATTTCATGTAATTACAACTTTGAATAGGACAAATTCAAATACATGCGACCTCTTCATGGGACCTGGCTGTATGGTAATATCTGCCCTACTTCATGAAGTCCTTGTGAGGTTCAAATGAAAGAGGTGCCATGAAAATAATTTGAAAAGTTAGAAGTGCTATATAAATGCAAAATATTATGACTATAACAATTTAGTTATTAAAATAATGAAGAACAATTTGAGCATAAAGGAAATAATAACAATGGCTTTATGTACGAATTTTGTGTTCTTAATTATGGAAGATTTTTAAAAAAATTTTCAAACAGGAATTGATGAACCGCTGCACATCAAAAGAAGAAAAATCATAAAGCCAGGTTTCATACATAGTCCGTGGAAAAGTGCATATATAAGGCAACACAGAATTGATACAAACTGGCGGCGAGGAGAACTGAAATCTCCAAAGGTAACGAAGATTTCTAAATGGATGCGTATTTATAATGGGAATTATTAAGCATTTAGCAGCTAGCCATTGCTGTTCTGGATGAGAAGTGTAACTTGAGACATCCTCTTTTCTAAGAAAGAACCAAAATCTTTTAAAGTAATTGAAATGGGTAACTAACAGATGAAGTGAATTGAATAGAACCAACTTTATACAATAACAGTGATATTGTAAAGACAAACAACTTTAAAAGACTGAGGAACTTTTTTGTTATTGTTGTTTAGTTGTTTTCCAACTCTTTTAGTTACTTATTTTAATTGTTGTATCCAATTCATGATCCCGAATTCGGGAGTTTTCTTGGCAAAGGTACAAGAGTGGTTTGCCATTTCCTTCTCAAGCTCATTTTACAGATGAGGAAACTGAGGCAAACAGGATTAAGTGATTTACCCAGAGTAAGGCCAGATTTGAACTCAGGTCTTCCTGACTTCAGGCCCAGTATTTAATCTGCTGTGCCACCTAGTTGCCATATTCCAGCCACAATTCCAGAAGACTTATGATGAAACATGCTACCCACCTTCTAATAGACACATGAAGGACTCAAAGTACAGATTGAGACTTTTTTGGGGGGTGGGGAGTGGGGAGTGGAGCAGGCCATGACCAATGTGGGGATTTATTTTGCTTTACTATGTAAGTTTATTAACGGGTTTTGTTTTTCTTGCTCTCTTAGTGTGGGGGAGGGAAAAGGAGAGGAGGAGGTTCTTCATGAAAATAAAATTTAATTTAAAAAAATTAAAGAGTAATTGTTAGAGTTCTTCTATAGCAAATTTCTTCCTCTAACCTGAAAAAGAATTAAATCTGACAGGGAAGGGCATGTAAATTGAGCATGACATAATGTATGTGTTTCTGCTGCTTCTATTTTCAAATAAGTGAAAAGGTTTGAGCATCCTATTGGATTTTGTAATATTAAAATGTCATTATTTCCTATCATATATCATTATTTACAGATATACACATGTAGCATATATTTTACTGATGAATGTGTTGGCTGCTTTCTCTAACTTTGTAGTAGCTTCCTTTTCTACTGTGAGACTTCTATGAATTCAGACCTTATTTGATATTTTCTCCATATCTCTATACTTTTCATTTATTGGAAAAATGAGAAAATATTTGAAATCTTTTGATGTGTGTGTATGTATATATACATATATACATATATATGTGTGTGTTTAAATATATACATGCATATATATATATTCTGATATATGTGTGTGTGTGTATATATATATATATATATATATATATATATATATATATATAATTAAGTAAATGTGGCTTTTGTCAAACAATTTTAATTTAATATGGCACCTTAGCAAACTATTCAAACTTTTCATCTGAAAATAGTTATTTAATTTTTTTCTTAAGATGTTAATCATCCTATGGTGGCTAAGTACCCTTTCATACTTCTGCAAATTTTAAATATAGTTTAAAAATCATTGTTCGTGTGCACTTTTTTCCTTGTGTGTAATATATAAAAAACATAGTTATATTTCTGATTCTTGTTTGTCTTATCAGGTGCTCAAAGGACATGATGATCATGTGATCACATGCTTACAGTTTTGTGGAAACAGGATAGTTAGTGGTTCTGATGACAACACTCTGAAAGTTTGGTCAGCAATCACAGGCAAAGTGAGTTTGTTTTAAAGATCATGACATTTGTATTTTTTTTTCCATGTACTGATAATGAATAGAAAAAATGACTAATTATTGGTACCCACTTATTTTTAGCAAGAATTTTTAAGCTGTTTATATACTAAGCCCCAAGTTTGTGAAAGTCATCTTGATGTAACATGATCTGATCATAGATAAACTGAGAATTTGAGCAGATGTGCTTTATATTTATGTAAGTTGCATTTGTCTTGACTTTATCAACCTGAATGGCATGATATTACCTTAATCTTTTGTAAAAAGTCGTAATTGTGAGAGATTTGTTTTCCCTGTGAAACTGTTCCATTTATAGGTCACATCTAATTTGAAAATTAAATGTTTCATGTTAGATTAGACTAATCTCAAGCTATATGAGATAATACTAAAGTAGATGAGGTATTGAAATTAAAGTTTGATGGGAAAAAGCAACCTGAGCAGTCAATCTTGAAAACACATGATAGTATCCCTTGCAACAATACCAGAGGGAAAGTCTAGCACTTATCTGTCCAGTACGGTGGCATTGCACAGAATTGAGTAATTGACCACTTTTCTTTTAAAAAAAACAGTTATGGTGAAAGGAAAGGAGTATATAGAAAAGCTTCCAGTTTTGTTTTGTTTTAACACTTTTCCCATGCAATACTTCAATCAGAAATCATTAATCTTCTAAATATCTCAAGTCACACTTGAAGATAAGAAGGGAACTTCGCATTTCTATGGTCTAACATTAGTTTGGGATTTATCTTCAATGTTTTAATGTCTGTCTTTACATGTCTGCAAGTAGCTTGGCTGGATCATAACTACTGCCTTCAGGCAGTCTTAGAGGAAATGTGGTATGCAACCACACCCAGTACTATTGACATTCTTTCACTTAAACCATTCCCATGAAGAAACCAAGTTACAATTTAGTATTCTTTCATCAAAAAAAAAATAAGCCAGCCTGGAACTGTCACATCTTAGTAAGAAACATTTGCTTTCTATCTACTTAGCCTTTTGTGACATTCATATGTGACGTATTGCTGAATATGTGAGTTGAATTGTCACATGATTCTCATTTCAAAATTAAAAATTATTTCCTGATACTTCTGGAAACCAAATTTTGAATGTTTTTCCGCACAAATTCTAATAAATGATGAAAATGGTGTTTAAATTTTGCTTTTTATCCAAAAATAAGAATCTTGAGTATTTTTTTTTCCTAGTGTTTGAGAACATTAGTAGGACACACTGGTGGAGTATGGTCATCACAAATGAGAGACAACATCATCATCAGTGGATCTACTGACCGTACTCTTAAAGTGTGGAATGCAGAGACTGGAGAATGTATACACACTTTATATGGACATACCTCCACTGTTCGTTGTATGCACCTCCATGAAAAGCGGTAAGAGCAAAAACCCAATTGAGAGTAAAGCGATTGTCTTACATTGCTTAAGTCACTTTCAACTGGTAACTATTAGGTATCCGTTCTGCAGTCATTTTCAGGTTTCAGCTTTATATACATATTTCATGTATTACTGCCTTTCAGTTTTATTTTGTTGCCATAGATAATGATGATGACAACTAAGCAGAAGTTTACACTAACGTTTAGTTTCAGCTGAATTATTGAAGTCACGTAGTCTTCTTTGAATATGTATTTTCTTAGCTATCTTTTCATGATGATCAGTACTGAGTTGTTTGCAGATAGTTGTCTCAGTTCTAATTGTCCTGGGCATCTTCAGTTCCCCTGTGTGAAATAAATTTTGAAGTGGGTCTGGGAAAAGGAGAGGGTTAGACTGGACCATTGCGATGCTAGATTCCCTCCATGGTTTTGCCCCAATCTAATTGGAGTTCTAGCTTTGTCACTAAGGTGGTATAAACTCTTCCCTTCTCCAGGTCTTAGTTTTTACCTGTAAAATGAGGATTTAGGGTTACATCATTCTTAAAACTTCATGATTCCAAGTTACTTAGTGATGACATGCTCTGGGTTGCTATCTGTACAGTTAGTCAACAATGCTTCCCTTTACTTCTCACATGGGAAAATTGTGAGAGAGAATAAAAGAATCCCTATGAATATCTTTTCAGAGAAAAGTAGCATAATATGCAAAATGGTGAGTTAACACAGGAATAAAAATTTTTCAAAAGAAAAAATTATCAAGCTTATCAAAAATGTTTATAACAGAGGACTGTGGATGTGAAAATATGTAGACATATGTAGTGAAGGAAACAGTCTTTAAAATGGCCTGGAATTGGTAATTTGACCTTGTATAAACACAAGTTTTCACCCTTTTAGGCCCCTATGTGCCACTGTATTCCAGTTCAACCTCTTATAATGTGTCCTAATTTGTAGATGAAATGGTCCAAAATTATTTAAAACTTTTTTTTCCTCATTAGCTCAGGGACTAGCTCTTTGAAGATCCATTCAATGTAAAAGTTTGTATAAATGTAATTTTAATGTAAATATAAAAATTATTGTATAACTATCTTGGCTTGAGGAAATCACACCTAACACAACACAGAGCATCTAGTAGATGCCCAAGATATGCTTGCTGTATTTCATTGAGTTGATTATTAGAGTACTCATCTGAGTTGAATGTATTTTCTTTAAAAATAAATTTTTTTGATACTTTTAGTTTCTATATCACTTTCATTTCCATACATACACAGTCCCTTGTTCCATTTCAGCTTTTTTGTCCTTTCACATGTTTTTCATTCTTGATATTGTTTTCCCTGTTCTTCCTTCACTGTTGGTTCATGTTCATTGTCACATACAGCTTGGTAATATTGCCTTATACTCCCATTAGGGAAAGATGGAGGGGAGGATTTACATTGCAGGCATTGTGATAAGAACTTAGATATATTGTCTTATTTGGCCCTCCCACCAACACCGTGAGATAGGTAGTGTTATTATTCCCATCTTGTTTAGTATTCTCCCAGTTGATGGAGACCAGTGTATTTTCAGGGATTAAAAAAAGAAATATATAGATCCAGTGTATTTTCAAAGCAGGTTCTCTCTTCTGTCCCTTACTGTAACACCATTCCATTCTTCTTCTTCTGCCATATTAACAGTAACATTTTTCTCAGTAAGAACAATTCAGCATATTCTATATTGGAATTTTGATGTGTAGAGGTAATAAGGAATATAGAATGTTAATGCAATGTTTTCACACAGTGGTTATGAATGAATGCAGTTAAAATTCATTTTCATTTCTAATTTGAATTGAATTAGAACTATTTAAGCAATGGAAGGGCACTGCAATCTGGAAGGTTAGAGTATTAGATTAGGTGCCAGGTAATCTGAATTCTGGTTCCAGTTATGCTATGCCTTAATTGCTGTGTGCCAATTCCCCAAATGTGGCTATAATCTGTGCATCCCAAACTCTTAAAAATATCAGAAGACCATATGGGAAAATGTGAGAGATTTGAACCCTTTTGAAACAAGTTACTATATAAATCCAAGGTGTATGTTTAATTATTACATCATTTCGCCCTTCAAGAATCACTATAGCAGGTATGGCATTGAATAAATCTTTCTAATAGTTATGTGGTTCCTGAATGCACGTATTTACTTTGCTATCTCCACATTATTTGTTGAAGTATATTTTAACTTCTGCATCAGGCTCATTTTCACTCTGATTAGTAACAGACATGGTTTAAAGCTTGCTGTCAGACATGTAATTTCAAGTTGTGTTATTTTTGTTCTCCAGTGTTGTCAGCGGTTCTCGAGATGCTACACTTAGGGTTTGGGACATTGAGACAGGCCAGTGTTTACACGTCCTCATGGGTCATGTTGCTGCAGTCCGATGTGTTCAGTATGATGGCAGGAGGGTTGTTAGTGGAGCATATGATTTCATGGTGAAGGTGTGGGATCCAGAGACTGAGACTTGTCTACACACGCTGCAAGGGCATACTAATAGAGTATATTCATTGCAGGTAAGAGATTCTGTGTGCTCTATCCTAGGAATGTTCTGCTAACTAAGCATATGTTTGTAGAAACTGCACTAATTGTCTGGTAAATGCTGGTCCATTAGAGTACTAGAAAAATAAGAAGAACAGAGTTTTCCTGTGACTTGTGTATGTGCCACTTATACAACAAGCATGAAGAAAACACATGAGATTTTGGAATTATTTGTTTGACCATTTTCTACTTTATTATGTAATTTCCTTCAAAAAAAAATATCTGTGTTGAACAGTTAGAACCTGCCACTTGGGGTACTTCAGTTGTGCTACAATAGATGTTGTTACCAGGGTAAACCTGGTTTTAATTCCCTCCTTAGCAAAGGATTAATTTGACCAAAAAGTTCCCCTTGACCTTGGTAGCTTGAGTTTGATGGACCGTGTAATTGGGATTCCATCCTTACTCATAACAGATCTGCAGCCTGCTATAAGAAGCTGCTGCTTCCCTGCCAGAGGCATCCCTAGCGCAGTTCCTATGGGGAGACTTCTTCCAACCAAAGGTTCTTAACCTGGTGATAGTGAACCAGTTTTAAAAAAAAGTTTTTTGATAACTATATTTTAATTGGTTTTCTTTGTAATCCTGTGTATTTTATGCACTTGACATAACATTATTCTGACAAGGGGTCCTTAGGGCTTACCAGACTGCCCAAGGGATCTATGACATAAAAAAGGTTCAGAAACCCTCCTTTAAACTTGAAACTGAATTTGATATGCTTGAATAAATTCACCACAGTTTTCAAAGTCAAATAGCTAAAATTTTGTACTCTTTAGAAAAAATAGATGTTACAGAATACATATATTCTGTTCCCCCTAAACAGCCTCATTTTCAGTTTTAAAAGTTTTCATATACATTTCTATTCATTAGCTGACATCCATCCACGATCTGCACATAATAGACTGCTTATATTGACAATTTCGTTCACAACTTAATAATGTGTTTAGTTGATGTACAGTATTGATTTTGGGGCCATTGTCACATTAAAATGATTTGACACGGGATAAGTGATTTGTTATTGGTGGTGGGGGTTGTGTTTGCTCTTTTGATTTCAAAGCTAGTCATTTAAGAGGAGGAGAGAATGTTTTGTGGGACGTCAGATTAGTAAGTTGTGTTGTTTTTTTTTTTAATATTTTGTGAGCACTAATAACACTAAAATCTTCATTTAAGCAAGTCATTGGGCCAGGAGCTGAAAATGACAATGTTAGTTGGCATCATCTTAATTTTGTTTGGGTTGATGGTCATTTACTCAGTGGAAACAAAAGTAGCAAGGAATGATATGGATCTTGCAGCAAGTCTGTCATCAAAATGACACCATCCCTAATTGAAACACGATTCATTATTTGTTAGCCTATTTCCTAATTAGTTTTAGGTTCTTGTAAATACTGTAATACTTTTCCATTCAGTTTCTAAATGAGATTTGAGCACTGTGAAAAGTGTCTCTAGCCCTTTCCTATATTTAGATGTTGATAAGCCCTTCCATTATCACAAGCTGTGTCAGCAGGTTCAACTTCCTGCTGGAGGTAATTGTCAGTGACTTTCTCATTGATGCCAGAACCATCTCAAGGTACCTAGATGCCTAGGGGGATGGGTATTTCCAAAAAGAAGGCTTAAAAATTAAATGTTGAATTATATTCCATGTTCACTTTGCATTTGTGAAGTATTAGAATTAGTGTTTTACAGTGGGGTTTTTTTTGAGTTTAAGAATTCTCAAATATTTCTGCAGCCAAGTGATATATGATACAATGTGTTGACATCAGAAGCTTTTTGAAAACCTGTTTGGTGCAGCTGTGCTTCACTTCATCGGATTGAGTGACTTTGCATGAGAACTGAATTAGCGTCCCCTGCAATGTTGGTTCTCACCGTGGCTAAGGTTAGGATCCACAAATGTCTTATTCAAGTTCATTGCTAATAGAATCTCTTTCTTCTAGTTTGATGGCATCCATGTGGTGAGTGGATCTCTTGATACTTCAATCCGTGTCTGGGATGTGGAAACAGGGAACTGCATTCACACATTAACAGGCCATCAGTCATTAACTAGTGGAATGGAGCTCAAGGACAATATTCTTGTCTCTGGAAATGCAGATTCCACAGTTAAAATCTGGGATATAAAAACAGGACAGTGTTTACAGACGTTGCAAGGTGAGTTCTGAATAACAAAACTTAGTGGTAATTATAAGCAATATTGAGCTATCTCTTTCTTAAAACAGAAGCATGATTGCTTTTACATGAATCTGTGAGCATTTCTCCTTTGAACTGGATCTATAAGGACCATATTCACCTTGGGCAAACTGTTTTAAGTTATATTTTTAAAAGGAAAATTATTTTAATGACTTACTACATATATTATATATATGAAGAACTCACATGACTGTGGATTCTTTCTAAAAACAATATTGTACCTAAGAGAAACTTATAAGTGTCTTTCAGAATGTACCAATTATGGCAGTTTGTTTTAGGGGATTTGTGGAAGGAAGAATTGGGATTAAATAATTATTTAATTTGAATTTAACATTTGATTTGCAAAGGAAAAAAAGATGTATTGGCATGAAAACTGCACTTTTTCATTTCCTATATAATTCTTTAAGATAGCTTTAATATTTTTACTTCAAGGAAATCTTTGACACTTGAAGCTTTACCACCAATTACAATAGGAAGTAATATGTATTATGAGAGTGCCCCATTGAAAACTCCATCTGGAAATCACTCACTCACTTAAAGAGTTTCATTTTATATTTTACTGTCATTTCATGCCCTCAGAATCATGTTTAACATCAAAGTAAGATTCTTAATTTTTTTATTCTCAAATTTATTCTGTTCTTCCTGAGCTTCAAACAATATTCTTTCCAATAGTGTTTGCAAGCCTTCTGTCTTGTTAGACTTCCATCATGTCATTCTCTTAAGTATTGCAGGAGTTTAGAGTCATTTGTGATTAATCATACATCTAAGCAGTTATAGAGGCCCAAAATTGTTTTTTCAGCTAGACATCAGGGTGACAGCAATAACAGCATCTTGTTCTGGAGTTTTGTGCTTAGAGTTATGTTCATTCAGTTGTGCAGCACCTTTGAATAAGCAACTCAGAGGCTTATGGTAGTAGGTCATGGTCCTCAACACTATGCATGAAGTTGTACTAGGACTACCATAATTCAGAAAAAGTTTTATCCAGACATTTTTGAAATGAAATACGTCTCAAATTCCTTACCAAGATTTCTGAATAAATAGTTGATTATAAGAGTTCAATCACAAATGGCTACCAGATTTTCCCATATCCATACTTGTCTTTTTTTGAAATTAAAAAAAAAAACTTAGAGCAAGGTTTCTGAATATGTAAAATTTTAAGTATTTCATTTACTGTATGTTCTAATGTAGAAGTCTACAAATTACTATATATGTGTCCCATATGCATAATTTCTAACCAATAACTAAATTCTTTTGGTTTTCCTAGGTCCCAACAAACATCAGAGTGCTGTGACCTGTTTACAGTTCAACAAGAACTTTGTAATTACCAGCTCAGATGATGGGACTGTAAAACTGTGGGACTTGAAAACGGGTGAATTTATCCGAAACCTAGTCACATTGGAGAGTGGGGGGAGCGGGGGAGTCGTGTGGCGGATCAGAGCCTCTAACACAAAGTGGTGTGTGCAGTTGGAAGCCGCAATGGGACTGAGGAAACAAAGCTGCTGGTGCTGGACTTTGATGTGGACATGAAGTGAAGAGCAGAAAAGATGAATTTGTCCAAACATGTAGAAGATGTACTCCCTGCCCTTCCCCCCTGCAAAAAAAAAAATCCCTTGTTCTCCGTGGTGCAGGATGTTGGCTTGGGGCAACAGAGTGTAGAGACCTACAGACGAAAGGGAAGACGACGAGATGACAAACCATACCTGACAAGCAAGGCATCTGCTGTCTCATCATGTACAAGGCTTCACTTTGGACTGGGGGCAGCTTTGCAAAATGTGACTTTCTAAATCAAACCAGGTGCAATTATTTCTTTATTTTCCTCTCAAGTGGTCATTGGGCAGTGCGATGCTGAAACCTTGTTCCAAATCCTGCTAACCTGTTCTTTTACCACCGAGGTCTAGAAAGGAGCTGCAATAACATCGAAATGTGGGCTGGTTGCCTTTTCACATTAGAGCATCTGCAACAAAAAAGTCATTTCTGGAGTGGAAAAGCTAAAAGTTTTTACTGTGAATTGTTTTTGTACAGTTATCATAAAAAAGCTTTTTTTTTTTTTGCCAACCATTGCCAATGTCAATCAATCACAGTATTAGCCTCTGTTAAACTATTTACTGTTGCTTCCATTTACACTCTTCAATGCATATGTTGCTCTGAGGTGGCAAGTTGTCCTGGGTTCTGTGAGTCCTGAGATGGATTTAATTCTCGATGCTGGTGCTAGAAGTAGGTCTTCAAACATGGGATTGTTGTCCCACCCCTGTACTGTATTCCCAGTGGCCAAACTTATTTATGCTGCTAAATGAAAGAGAAAAAAAAGCAAATTATTTTTTTTTATTTTTTTTCTGCTGTGACGTTTTAGTCCCAGACTGAATTCCAAATTTGCTCTAGTTTGGTTACGGAAAAAAAAAAGACTTTTTGCCACTGAAACTTGAGCCATCTGTGCCTCTAAGAGGCTGAGAGTGGAAGAGTTTCAGACAATAAAGAGTGAAGTTTGCCTGCAAGTAAAGAATTGAGAGTGTGTGCAAAGCTTATTTTCTTTTTTCTTTTCTGGGCAAAAATGAAAAACACATTCCTTAGAACAAAGCTATTCCAGCCTGTTCTGTTGGGAAACTTTTCTTTTTGAGGGCTGTGGTGAATGGAATGAACATACATAATAAAACTGACAAAATATTTTTTAAAACTATAAAACACAAAATGAAAATAAAGTTGCTGGTCAGTCTTAGTGTTCTACAGTATTTGGGAAAAAACAACTGTTACAGTTTTATTGCTGTGAGTAACTGACAAAGCAGAAACGATTCCGTTTTTGTAGTAAAGGCGTCACATGCAAACAAACAAAATGAATGAATAAGTGGAATGGTTTTGCCTCATTCTCCAAGAGCCACAACTCAAGCTGAACTGTGAAAGTGGTTTAACACTGTATCCTAGGCGATCTTGTTTTTTTATTCCTCCTCCTGTTTTTTGTTTTATTTATAGTCTGATTTAAAACAATCAGATTCCAGTTGGTTAATTTAGTTATGTAACAACCTGACATGAGGGAGGAAAACAACCTTTAAAGGGATTGTGTCTATGGTTTGATTCACTTAGAAATTTTATTTTCTTATAACTTAAGTGCAATAAAATGTGTTTTTTCATGTTAGCATGGCTGTTTCTTCCTTGAGGTAGCACTGCTTCGTTGCTAATAGTTCTTTTCTTTTTTTTTTTCCTGAAGTTTAAACCAAGAAAAATCTTCTTTAGTTCACATTCTCTTTGGTTTGAAATGGGAATCAGTATTTTCCAGGTCCATTTTATGCAACTAGAATTCCATAAAACAAACAGCAAAACTGTTTATCACCTCTGTTGTCTCATTAAAATATATGGAGGACACCAACTCATCCTCTTTTATTTACATTGGTGTGTATTACTAGCTGTTTCTCAGCAGGTCACTCCACCTAGCCATGCCTCATTTTTTCTCATTTGCAAAAAAGAGGAAATTGAATTCAGTAATCTCTAGAAGAGATGTCTATTGCATGTATGATACACAAACATAAATATAGATGTATTTCATTTTCAAAGAATCATTATACCATTGGCCTTCAAAGATGAAATTTCTAGAATTCCTAGTAACCAGTACTTCCTTGCTTACTTTTTGAATCATTTAAGAGTTCATTTAACAGACTAAATTAAGGCAGGGTGAAAAGCCAGTATTTAAGGCTCTTGTGTCTCTAAGGACCATTCTGTTAACTAAATAAGCTTTCATGCAGCTATCTTGTACTGACATCCACAAATGTTGGTTATTGATTAAAACTGGGTAATTTCAATCAATATCCAGAAACTTAAACTATCCAGATTTAAACCCAAAATTAGGAATCAAGCAGAAAGTAAAAGGGAACACAGTTAAAATGCTTTGCAAACCTGAAAGCACTATGTAAATAGTGTTGTTATTATTATTATTACTCATAGGAGAACCCCTCAGGCCCCTCACTCAGATCTTGACTTTTGATACAGACATAATGGATTCCCAGCCCACTGCAGTTTGAAAGTAGCAAATTAGAATCAAGTAAGTTCTTGCAGGCAGACATATTGAAAACGTCCTGAAATGACAACTTATAGAAAGGGAGAAAATTAAAACTAAAAAAAAATTAATTATATGAACTCAAAAAACACAGTAGCCTAGGACTGATTAAATTAAAAGGTAATATCCTACGTATCTTCAGTAACTAACCCCTGAGAATTTCACCTTAGAAGAACACAGTATAATAATTAATTTTCCCATTAATAATTCCGAGTCATTAAGGAAAGGATACATTTTGTTCAGGATCCTCTTTAAGAAGGTAGGAAGACACTTCAAAAAATGATCATGAGAAAAGGGATTCCAATTATCATGAAACATATAGATATGAACATTTATTTCACTTATCTGGAAAATTCACTTTTATAGAAGAAGTGCCATTTCTTGTGCCTTGCACATAGTAGGCACTTAATGATTGCTTATTAGATTAGATTGATAGTAGACAAAACTGTCTTTATAATGTCAAAAGAAAAATAGGGTCTTCAAATTGGATCATGGTAATAGATTGAAAAATTAACTTCAAATTGTAAAATTTGAAGACATGACTTAAGACAGTCTGTTGCAAATGTATTTGAGATAGTCCAGATTTTAAAATCAAAATATTTGTAAAGTTTTTAGGGAACATTAGAGCTCATGCCATGTATTTTTTTTAAAACAAATATATCATAAATGCGTATTAATAGCCTCTGTCAGTGGGATCATTTTTAATACTTTAAGGCTCATTATGTACCTTGTGATACGTGTTTTTTTTAAATGAAGATAATCCTGACTTTATTTGTAAGTCGAGTTTTTTGGGAAAAGTTTGAGATTCTGTTCTGAAGACTTTATGTTATAGAAGGCCAAATATGGATTGTTTCTGAGCTAATATCTTTACCCATTCAGATGTTAGAGGAAATTGTTGATTGAATGAGTAATGATTGACAAGAACTAGAGTCTAACAGCCATAGAAAATAGGATGTTCCTTTACCCAGAAAACCCAGAAATTTAAGGTTCCAAGTTTTTATATTAGCCTCATGAAGTAAATTGTCAAAAGTGTATGCTAAGTAGTTTTAGACTAACTGCATACCAGGGCAATGATATTGGAAAGTTTCTAGGATGTATTAGTGGAAATATTGGCTGCTTCCATTCCATGACCATGAAGTTAGTAGATGGCAAAATCTTTTGGCCTATCATGTTGTTAGAAGATTACACAGCAAAGTTACACATCAGTTGTAACTACCCTTTATCATACTTAGCATGATCATGTTGGGGGAGGAAAATACTTTGTTCTAAGGACTTAAGCAAAACACAACATTTTCCTTTGAACAAATCCCAAGGGGAAAAATTTCACAGTAGTTTGATTATTTTCTTGTAAATCCTGTCCTACATTAATATAAAGGTTGAAGCTCAGAATGGTTTTGACCTTTCAGCTAACGTTCCTTAAATTAGTGTTCTTGGAATGGCAAATTCTCTATTCCAAAGATAAAATTATAATCCAAATCAATGGTCCATAGAGACAAACTGCAAAATCATATGAAGGAGTAAGCAATGTACTAGGAATTGGGAGAGATTTTTGTTCAAATCCCAACTCAGATATACCTATATACCCCTTAGCAAGTCATTTCAGACTTAATTTGCTCATCTGTGAAATGGAAGTAATCACCCTTACCCTACTTTCCCTCAAAGGTGAATGTGAGGGAAGAAGTCTTGTAAACCTTAAAGCTTTTCATAAATGTAAGCTATTATTATTAGTGGACAGAGTACTAAACTGAAAGGAAGACTTGTTTGGGTCTGCCACAAAGTAGCTGTGTGACCCTGGGCAAGTTATTAAACAGCTCTGGGCTTCAGATGCTGATAAAATGAAAGGGTTGGCTACATAATTTCTAACGTCCCTAATATCCTATGATTCTATGTAGTCATCAAATGTTACTTGCTGAAATAAGTGAACCAGCTCGTTATGCTACATGTGAATTGTTTAAGATGCTGACATTTTTTAAACCTCCCTTATCTTAGTATCACTTACAACTACCCGAATTGGTCCTTTTGAATGATTTGTTTGATTTCTGCCCTCCCCCCCCAAAAAAAAAAACCTGAGTCACTGGTGTCTTACTCAATTTTCGCTTAGTCTTTTACAAATCACTTTCTTTACCCTTATAATGATGATGATGATGATGATGATGATGATGATGATGATAGCCTTTATATCGGGCCTGCTGTGCTGTTCCAGGCACTGTCCTAAGAGCTTTGCAAATATTTACAAATATTTGAATCTCACAACAATCCTGGGAAGTAGGTGCTATTATTTTTATAGTGAAGGAAACTGGAGACAGATAAGTTACTTGCTCAAGGTCACTCAGTGAGTGTCTGAAGCAGGATTTGTACAACATAGAATATGGCTGGAGAGTGTTCCTTTAGCACTAAATTGAAAAACTCCTTGAACAAATGCAAAGACAGTATGTATATGTCTATACATACATGATCCCTTTCCCTACTGTTCCAGAGAGGAAAGTGGGTGGGGATAATCAGAGGTCAAGGAAACTCCAAGGGAGAGATTCATTGGTTGATAGCAGGATTAAAATGCCATGCCCTCTCATTGCACTGTGAGATGAGTGGTATTCATCATCTAAAATCTGTGCTTCTTGGCTGTCACCTTAGGGAGATACTTAGAGTTTAAAGGGGGATTTAGGGCCAACCCTCTCTCATTTTGCAGATGAGTAAACTGAGACTCAGAGAAGATAAGCAATGTATCCTAGATCATACAGCTAGCTTATGTTATAGTCCAAGATTAAACCCACATCTTGCAGCTAACTCCCAGCCTTTCCCTTACCTCCCATCACAGGCTACTGGGGACGTTAGAAATAATGTAACCAACCATTTCATTGTATCAGCATCTGAAGCCCAAAGATGTTTAATAATGCCCAGGGTCACACAGCTACTTTTGTGGCAGACCCAAGTAAGTCTTCCTGACTTTCAGTTTAGTGCTCTGTCCACTAATAATAATAGTTTACATTTATGAAAAGCTTTACGGTTTACAAGACTTCTTCCCTCACATTCACCTTTGAGGGAAAGTAGGGTAAGGATGATTACTCCCATGTCACAAATGAGCAAATTAAGTCTGAAATGACTTGCTAAGGGGTATATAGGTATATCTGAGTTGGGATTTGAACAAAGATCAGAAGGTTCTGAAGACTACCCTGCTCACACTTCTCCCTCTGTTTTTCCCTTCTCATTCAACAGAAATCAAGGGTCAACTTTATTGGATTGTTCAGTAGATGCTGGGCCAAAGAGCTTAGTCAGAGGTTCTTGTAGGTGAGACAATGAAGCCTGATCACTTCCAAGATACCTTCAAGCTCTCTCTAATGCTATGGTTCTGTGATTCACAAGACCTACAGGAATTCCTGTATTGGGAGAGCAGGGATGGGAATCCCGAATTGATTTAGTGGTATGAAACAAACACTTGACCAATTAATCTTTAAAATTTATTTGCTTTACTTAATTTCAAATCCATATTTTCTTTAAAACTCACACTGAATCCTAGAAGCAAAGGGATGAGATGATGTTTTTTACTAAGTCACCATAATAGCTGCTTCCTTCCATTTTTTCTCTCCTCCCCTCCCCCCACCCTTCTCAGAAACAACATTTTGGCTAAGAGAAGTAATTTGACACCTCTTGAACTTCAAGGTGATGCTTTTTAAAAAAGGTTTGTTTCGTTTTGATGCAGTGCAGGAACATATATGTAAGTTTATGTATGTTGTCTATACATTGTTATCATAGAATTGTAGTGCTAGTCCAAGAAGGCCATCTAATCCAACCCTCACATATGGAAGAGAAAATTGAGGTCCAGAGAGATGAAGCTGTTCAAGGTCACACAGCTAGAGTATAGCAGAGCTAGAATTCTGTATTTACCATTGGAATTTTAGATTATGCATCTGGACAGTGAATTTGCAGAGTGAATCAATAGCTTTTTGTTTCAGTATCTTCCTACATCCCTGAGGAGATGGTTTTAAATTTGCTCTAAAGTGGCTGAGCCCAGAAACACTTCATATCAAGAGAGGCGGCTTAGTCATTGATTGGAGCTGGAAACAAACTCAGCAAATGTTCTAGTATTG